TCAAGTCCTAGGGGACTTTTTTTGTATCAGCCTTCTGAAACTGCTGGGGGAGAGCATTGAAGCAAGTTAAAGTTAGTGCTCTTCAGAATTTGGAAATAGTTATGTGGTGTAAGTATCTCGCTGGTTTATAAAAAGGGGCTTGAGTGCTCAGAAAAACATCCCTAGGTAGAGCAGACTGTTCCTGTTGGGCTTCCAGGTCTTTGATACGTTGTTTAAATGCACTGAGTGCATGCTCAGAAATCATCCTTAGGAACGCCTCCCTGGAAAAGCCGAGATGTTGAAATGTTTGTGATATTGTCCTGAACCATATTGATTTGTAATTGTCCTCAATAAGGAAATAACTCAAACCTGTGGGAAAGAACTGTAACTTCAACCAATGTGCCATGATACAGGTCCATGCACCTGTTTTGACTTTAGATAGCCCTGTCTCCCTCCTTAATGCTATGTTTGGAACGCAAGGGGCTACCTGGAATATAGTCCTTAGGAATTTAAATTGGACCCTTTCAAGAGGACTAAAGGAAGTGTAAGTGTAAAAGTGTAGGCACAATCCAATTTGTGGGGAAGTGCCACAGAAATAATGATGTCTGGGTGCATATACAAGTGAGTTCCAGATATTTCAGATTTTGAGAAATCCTGAAGTAAGAATTAAGTCTTTTCTTGATGTAGCTTATTGAGAAATTTTCCCCTCTGTAAACTTCATGTTGATTGTTTACTTGGGGATTGATTTGGCTTTTTCTTTCTTTATTCCTTCTCGACCTTTGTCTTCTGGCTTGTCGTAGCAAAGTTGTTCTAAAGTAGTAGAAAAGCTCTTGACCTCTACCCAGACCTTTTAGCCATGCTCCAGTACACAAGAGATCCCTCAAGTGTTTCTGTCCTTGCAACTATTTCATCATTATTTGAATTTGGCATTTGTGTACGGTGCAGCGCTTACAATATTCTAAGACTAAGGTAAGACTTTGTAGTACCTTCCTAGGAACAAACCTTGTTGACCCATAAATGTTGTTCAGTCACCTTGACAGATCAGTTTCTTGGATAGATCTTCTTTGTGGTCATAGTAGTGAAGCTAAAACCCACCCCATGGTACTTAATGGAAGATTTACAGCACAACAAGGAATAGGCAATATTTGGTCAGCCAGAAACTACCTCTAGTCTTCCCCCCACCCCCAAAGCATTAATGGAATGATGTCCCTGGAAATAAGGATTTAACAAATCGATTTTACTACTTACTTATTTTTTAAAGAACAAAAGATGGCACTGTTGTAATCCAATAAGGGAAGCTTTTTCAGACCTTAGCTAGTCCATCCCTTCCAGATAGGCTGCATGAGAGATATGCCTGTTGCCCACATGTCACATTCATCTTGTAAAAGGCAAACAATAAAACAAAACCACAGTATTTTCTTGACCTCTAGATCCATGGGAATGGTGAGGTCTCTGTGTTGTAACTGCTCAAACTACCTCGAACTCCAGATGTGTTGGGACTTCCAACACCCAGAGGTTTGAAGGTCACACACCTCAGCTGGATTGGGAAAGGTTGTATCAAGAAAACTTGCGTCAGATTGAAGGTGAACACTTTTTCTACATGCAGGTTGATTTAATTAATTATCTTGTCAATGCAAATAGGAGGAAAAAGAGAGACTATTTCATCAAGGTGAAATATGGCACGCTGATTTTCAGGAGTGTGTTGTGATTTCAGGCAGCTTGGCAGCACATTTTTTTCACAACTGGATTGTGTTTTAAAGATATGCAGCAGAGGAAAAAGTTGGAAGACATCTCTAAGAGGCCATAGGGAGCTCAGCACTTCAAGAATTGCCAGAGTTTGTTAACTTGTTTACGGAATTTATAGACTGTCACATTCCACATGATACAAGCAACTTTACAAAATTAAAAACATCCCATAAATACAAAACAACTCTAGAAATAAAAATAGCATCCATTCAGGGAACACACACACCCCTTCTCAAATTCCTCACAACTCCTGAAGCCTGCACATCCACCTAACCCTAGGCCAATCGGAAAATCCAGCTTTTAAAAGAGTGCTTGAAGAAGGACAAGGACATGCAGATCTCCAGGGAAACATTAGAGAGGAGAGAAAGTTAAGCCCTGAAATGTCCCACAGATCAGAGTCTCTGGGCTTGACCTCTCCCTCCCAACCAACACTGACTGGAACCAGCTGTAGAGAAAGGAGGAGAACCACTGCCCCCCAATCACATTCCCTGCCACCAGCCCAGAAGATTGCCATGGTCAATTGGAATGGAAATCCACTGAGAAATTAAGGAGGGCACCTCCCTGATCCCAGGTCTGCCAAAAGACATCCATCCGTAAGTCCAACCAATGTTGTCCCAACCTGCAGCCTAACTGAAAAGGGTTCAAATAATCCACTTCCTCCAGGATCCTCTCTAACTGCAACCTGACCATCTTCTCAACTTTCCATAAAGAGGGAAGGTTAAGGACTGGGTGAAAATTGTCCAGGATGGTAGGGTCCAGCAATGGCCTCTTGCGGAAGGGGCACACTCAGTGGGAGCTCAGAGTGAAATATTTTATCATAGAGATGGATAGGTGATGGCTATCCCACGGAGCTGATCATCTTGTATACTCTTTTCTCTTCCAGTGATGCATAGCCCATTAGGGTATCTGCTCAAACTGGTGAAAAGGGCTTTTTCTGGTCAGAGGCTGATTTTTTTGGGGGGGGGGGGAGCTAGTACTGGATTACTAAAGAGAGACATCTCCATCTTACAGTGTAGTGATGGAAGCCTTACGGGAAGCTGCCAAAAATCAATCTGCAGTTTATGCATGGAATGAAACCTGCATTTTCTTTTTCTCCCTTTTTTTAAGCCCTTCCCTGCTTTTGTTGCTGTAGCCCTTTGCTTTGCAAACATGTGTTTTGCTGTCCTCTTTGGTTTGCTCTTGCTCCCCTCCCCTTTCTTTGTTATTGTCTGTTGTTCGTGTCGAAATTGCATGCTCTAACCTCTGCCATTAACCCACTTTTCAGCACAGGGACGAACTCAGCCATCTAGACGAGTTTTCTTCTCCTTCAGCATCTCTCCGCTCATTCCTAAGTCTAAAACTGTCTTTTCTATTGACTCTTCTTCCAGTGATGATGAGGAGTTGGAGAGTAAGTAATCTTGTTTGGGCAAAATGATGCTGGCATTGCACAGTTCTTAGCGGAGAAGCTCAGACTCTTGCATGACTTTCTTTAATGCAAATGCTTGGGGCGAAGTCTCTGCTGAACAGCTTGCTTCTTCATTTGTCTTCCCTACTGCTTGCAGATTCTAGCAGGGGTGCTTTTCAGCTCACTTTTCTGTTGATGGATTGGCCTGCAAGTTTTTCTAAAGTTCTTTTTCTTCATTTGGCCCATGTGCCAATAAGGAATGTTACGGTATAGAACTAATGCACAGGAATCGATGCTACTGTCACAAGTTTGCCGCATCACATTTTATTTATTTATTTGGATGTAGGAAGTCACACTTGGATTTACACATATGCAGATTCTATGTACCTGCTTGGGTTCAAAATTTTTAAATGTTGCTATAGGCTAACTTACCCTTAGATTATTTCCCATTATCAGGTGTTCGGGAAAACAAAGACAGTACTTTTATGAAACTTGTGAATTCAGAAATATTAGAAGGTGCTGCCTCTGCAACTTGTTCTTGTAAAAAATAATGGATATTTTTGTTGGACAGTACCTTTTCTTAGGAAATAGATGGGAAAGGAAGATTTTCATTGGGGGATAAGATCATTATTGTAGATGGTTAAATCCTGAAGTAGTTAGAACAAATCCAAGGGATGTAAGTAAGTTGTCTTCCAAAGAGAGGTCTTCCTAAATCAATCCTTTTAAATCACCATTTTAAAAATTGCCTTCAACGAATGGCAGCAAGATAAAACTCTGTATCCTTCGCCTTATCCTTGCTTTTTGATATCAGATCATGAAGAAATATTTAGACCATTTTGAAAAACCCTACTGGAAATGCAAACCAAGGAATATATGGTCATTTATGATCAAGGAATATTCAAGGTTGCCTTGAGGAGAGGGGGTGATTTGAAGTAGTGAGGAATATGCTACTGGGGGATTGTTTTAGAATTATTCCAATATGGTGAATTTTGAAGAGCTAAAATTTTAATTTGCAAAGTACACCACGAAACTTCCTACCAGTGACTAGATCTTTAAAGCAAATGGAACAGAACATAGAATTAATTTCAAAGGGACGTGGATGTGTGCGTGTCAGAATGTATATATGATATTGGACATCTACAGTTAGAAAATTCTGTTCAAATTCAGACAGCTTAAAAGTGCCCCATGAATCCCTTAGGCTGAATTTCTTACCAGAAGGTAGCCAAGGCAACTCCTGAGAACATGTTTCTTTTGTCCTTTGCAAAGGTCATAATGTGATCTCCAGCTCCTGCTGTCTGGGGGTAAAACTGACAAGAAGATTCTCCACACTTCGTGTTGAGCGTTGTCAGATTCAGCTTGCAGACTATCCCCAGTGATTATCATGTCCCAGCTGCTAATTCAAGCAAGAGGGTGTGATGCATGCTTGTTCCTCTTTGACAGCTTTCTTAAGTCTGTTTTTGCTGGAAAATGTGAAGGAAACTGTTTAGATTTTGAACCACGTTTGTACTTGTTCTTTTCACGGATTGCCCGAAATGACCACAGACACGAACTTGGGAAGACTCTGAAGTATGACTCTAGAAATGGTTCTGGTCCCATCAGCTGGTTCTCAGAATAATCGTTTTCATAAAAAGAGAGGCAGGAAATCAACATCATTGATCATTTATAATCTTAATAAAGGGTATGGCCTTCTAGATGTTGTAGTCAACTCATCCTCCTAACGTGTTAGGTGAATTCAGAGTCTAAAGTTATCTGGCACTAGAGACATTTTCTCCATCCTGTCTTAATAGAACATATGTTCTAATAAGATCATATATTCATACCACTATATATGTTTTGATATGTTTCCTATTGGAATTTTTAATTGTAATACTTTCTCCATGTATTTTCATAGGTACCCGAGCCTTCAGCAGCAACTTGACTCAAAGGTGATCTTTTTATTAATCTCTTAAACATACTCGAAATATAGTTCCTTCCTTCCTTGAATTCAGCAAGAATTTAAACAAACATGACAGTGGTGTTTTTTTTTTTAAGTTGATTTCACTGTAAAAAAGTTGGCCTAATTATCAACTGATTGAACAATTAAATCTACATACCTCTGAATTATAGTCAAAAAGCTTAACTTGACAAATTTACTAGTTTTGGGTTGTTGAAGGTAAAAAAGCTCTTAGTGTGGAAAAGGAAGTATTGCTGTGCCACCAAGATTAGTGTGGAAAAGGAAGTATTGCTGTGCCACACAAAAGGAATTGATTGATTGACCAATTGACTGATCAAGGGCCACTTTCAGTCTTTTAAGAGGCATGCAAGAGACCATATTCTGAAAACTGGGTAAAATGGATTTGATGTGATTTAATTGTACTTAAAGTTAAGTAGACTTGTTCTATAGACAGTAATTTCTTCCTGGGGTGCATTCAAAGTTACAACTCAATAGCAGGTTTCTTGAGGATCTGGGGACTGAACCTACCTTTGCGGGTGGGGGTGACATGTGACTTGGAGCAAAAGTTGCTCATTTCTCCTTGAAATTGTTCCTGTATGTTTAACTGAAGCCTAGGCAGGTACAAATGAAAATGCTGTGTCTCCAGCTTGAAGTGGATGAGAGCACTGTTCTTTGTGCACTGCCTGAAATGTTTTATCTCTTGGCTTTTAGCATCAGCGAGGAGAGTGGCAGTTTTCCACCCCCTAGTCCCTCCAGAAAAGACTTGGAACCCAAAAGTGGAACAAAAGTCAGTCGCACATTCAGCTACCTCAAGAATAAAATGTCCAGCAGTAAGAAGAGCAAAGTAAGTAAGCCCAGGAGTTTGGGCCTTCCTTGTGCTTCTGACACCAGTGCTTTGAGGATCAGGGATGTCATCATTATGCTTGTCCTGGTGGCTCTCCAACCCATCCTGATCCAAGACCATGGGTAGGGAGATGACCTTCCAGGAAAAGAAAAGATCCTTATGTAAAAATAACTAGGAGCATTTTCCTTCCAGCTGCAGTCATGACTATATGCTAATGACAAAATGACTAAGAAATAGGGAACATGGTGTGATGGTATGTGGGAAAGACTTTGGGAGATGGAGCAAGGAGACCCTGCCAAGGGAACAGTAGATAAGAGACAGCATAACCTGCGAGAGGCAAGAGGCTCAGAAGAGACCTTCCCTAGTTTCTCAGGCTGTAAAGGAGATGGGGGAAGAATTGTACTTTCAGACTGGCAAAATTCTGTCAATGTAGCTTTACAATAAAGTAGAATTAGCTCATCTGGTTGTGATTCCTATCTGGTTTACCCAACATGGCTTCAGACTGGCAAAATTCTGTCAATGTAGCTTTACAATAAAGTAGAATTAGCTCATCTGGTTGTGATTCCTATCTGGTTTACCCAACATGGCTTCAGACTGGCAAAATTCTGTCAATGTAGCTTTACAATAAAGTAGAATTAGCTCATCTGGTTGTGATTCCTATCTGGTTTACCCAACATGGCCAACATCAATCATGCAAGTCTGAAAGTACAGTCCTCCCCACCCTCTGTCTCCTTTACAGCCTGAGAAACTAGGGAGGGTCCCTTCTGAGCCTCTTGCCCCACCCAGTATGCAGCGGTGGGCTATGCTGTCTCTTATCTGACCATTCCCTAGGCAGCATCTCTTTGCCTGTCTCCCAAAGTCTTTCCAACATACCATCACACATGGAAAAGATTTGGGCCTCCTCAGCTCCTCTCCTTTTTTCCCTCTGGTTGGTAAATTTTAAAGGGAACTGGATTATTCTTTCAAATCTTCTATTTATTACTTGTAGTTCTCCCTAGACTGTCCCTAAAAAACATCCAGAATGGCTACAATAGCATTAATATGCACACATACAAGCAAGTTTTAAGAATCAGATAAGGGATATAAAAATGTTACCTATTTAAAACTTCATTCAATGAAAGCAACATGCCTGTTCAAACACAAGCAAAGCAAAGCTGGTTTAAATAGAAGAATTAGTCCCTGATATTAGACATACATAAAATGGAGACCTAGATGAATCTCCAGTTCCAGAGTCTGACCTTAACCCTGCAAATCCTATTCACCAAATTATATCAAATTATTACATCAGATATTAGCTAGAGAAAGAAAAGGATCTCTCTAGAAGATCTCAACATTCAACCAAGTTCATAAAAGATAAAGACATCCTTTAATTTACTTGGTCCTTAGGCAGTGAAAGCTTTGTAGGTCATAAACCAACATTTTGAAATGCTCCCAGAGAGAGATTAGAGGCCACCACAATGGTGGTAACTGTCATCTTCGTTGAAGTAGTATCCTGGGGCTGCATACACAAACAGTATTTTGCTCACCAAGGTCTTTTCTGTTACCGGCCAGCCCATCTTTTTATTTCAAGTTCAGAATGTGATGTGAGATCTAATGCAAGCATATATTCTATCAGTGAGCTACTGCTACAGTAGTTCAAAAGATGCACATAAGCAACTCCTAAAGCAATAGATTGGGTTCCCTAAGTCATGGTTTTTATAAACATGATTTATTAAGCAAACTTCAGTTGGCTGTGTTAACATACTAATCTAAAAACAAACAAACAATATTATGGTTTAGCATGTTGTGTGAACCCAACCTTATCAGTATTGTTGTTTATTTTGACTAGCAGTAATTATTATAGTATTATTATTGTAATGAGACCTAAGCTCTGGCCTTTGCTACTTTGATCCCAATTTTTGTTGAGATTATATCAGAATGGGCAAATTTGGGGGAACTGTTTTGCTTTTTTTCAACTAAAACCTGAGATCCAGCATCAGGAATCAGGGATAAAAGATATGGGCTATCCAACAATTTAAGCCTATAATATCTTCCTTCTGGGGAGAGTCAACATTTCTTCTGCATAAAATACCATTTGTACCTACCTCAACTTCCTTCATTTCAGTTTAAAAGGCCATTTGGGGGGTAGGGGGGCATCTATTTGCATTTTTGAATTTAATATATAATTTGCATCAATCACATTACTCAAGTCAATTTGCATCATTTGCATAATGAGATAATTACCTCACAATGTGAATGATGAGAACTATGTAAATTGAATATGTTGTGTCATGGCATCATGCGTATGCCCTCACTGTATTCTAAGTTGTATGAAGAGCCAGATGTCTTAGTAGACACCCAGCCAAGTTACAACCACAACTGCGCTGTAACAAAAATCAATGGAAAAGCATTTCTCTGTAGAACTTTCATCTTAACTTTTTATGTTTTATACCTGTTTGGAAGATACCAGTTTCTCATATTTTTACTCTGAAGAAGTGTCACGAGTGAGCTGAAAGTAGCTTGTTCTTTTGAGAAAGAAGTGCTGAGAAAATTCTGTTTGGCAAGAATGCTTTAGAAGTTTAGAAAACCAGACCTTTGAGTTACACCAGTACTACTTCTTTGACAGGGGTAGATGTTCCCCATTCACAATTATTGATGCTTTAGAAGTTTAGAAAACCAGACCTTTGAGTTACACCAGTACTACTTCTTTGACAGGGGTAGATGTTCCCCATTCACAATTATTGATGCTTTAGAAGTTTAGAAAACCAGACCTTTGAGTTACACCAGTACTACTTCTTTGACAGGGGTAGATGTTCCCCATTCACAATTATTGCATAGCTAGAATTGGGAATCTTGTTTCTAAGAAGATCTTTCTTTACCCTTGCAGTGATTAAGTAGCATTGCAGCTTAGGAAGTTATTAAAACAAACTTTTTTTTAATGTTTTTTCTTTAAAAAAAGCATACTTTTACTGTGATCTTTCGTTTATCATTATAGGGGCCAGTCTTTACATTTTAAAAAATGAGCTAAAGACCCCTTTGGATAATCAGATTAAAATGCATAATCTTCCTTCAATTTTGACTTCTGCATGTCAGCCAGAAATTTGCTCCTTTTTCCTACTACTCAGCAACTGGAGCCACTTTTTCATCTCTCATTTCTAAAAAGGAACACAAATTCTTACAGGAAAATCCAGTCTGTAAAATCCTTATCCAGTCAGGTGGCTCTTCTCCTTGATGGGCAAAATGTCATTGCACAATTGTCAAGACAGTAGTCTTGAAGAACTCTATTGTATTGTACCAACACTTTTTTTTTTTTTTTGAATGATTACTACACTGCTTGACAATTGTGCAAGGGAAACTCGCTGCTTGTGGGCACACATTCAGATTTTATGAGTGTTTTGAAATTCCTCCGTCTGTGAAAGATCAAATAGCCAGAAAAGCAGTTCTCTCCATTTCAAAGCATCCTTCACTGTGCAGCTGTCATTTTTTTCTTGATTTGGGTAGGTTATGACTTTGGAGCCAGAATAAATAATGTTTAGGGCACAGTCAATTAGATGTACAGGTAAAAACAGCTTAGCATTCAATGTTTTTCTTCTGATTCCATGAAATTTCAACCACTTCAGATATGAACGAAAAGAGGTAGACAGTCTGTGGTCCATTGGTACAAATGTACCTATAGAAAGCCCTCTGCCCCACCTGATTTTTTTTAATAATACACCACCAGCCTCTAGCATCATCCTTATTTCCAAAAATGTATTGGGGCTCCATGCTGGCCCCATAGGATGTTTTAGAAAATAAAAATGATGCACGGTAACATGCAAAATTAAGTTGTTACCACTCATTCATTAAAAAGAACAAAGGTGAGTGTCATCCTAGGAACTTTATAGGAAGAAAGGAGTGATCAGAAACAACCTCAGCAATTTGCCTTGTAAATGGTTGCTTTGTAATGGAGCACAGTCTTCCCATGGCATCCATTTTGTGAGCGCGCACACAGCATGCTGTTGAAATTCTCCCTGCCAAGGAATTGCCTACCCCCGGTGTAAATCAGTAGATTGTTCATTCTCCTGATTGTTCACCATCTGGAGGTAGAATTATGTTCTACAAGGAATGGAGATTCCTGTTTAGGTTTGCAGCCTAGAGGTTGAAATGTCTAGTCCAGCTTTCACCAGCTTGATGTGTTCAGATGTGCTGAGGCTCAATTCCCACAACATCAACACAGCATTTTGAAAATTGCAACGTCAACGTACCTGCAAGGGAAAGGTACTAGGGTGGTAAACCTCAATGAGACTCCGAAAATCTGCCTTGCCCCAATCTTAATTTGGGGAGAACTTCATCTACACAGCTTCTATTTTTGACTGGCGCTCTTCCCTATTGGTGGCATTTACTCTAGATCCAGAAGTTCTCCATTCTTACTGTTTAGGGATTAGGACTGAGTTTACCTTTCTCACGTGGAAAGGACATTTTCATCTTGAACTGTTGCATGCACATTTTTCTCAAATGTGTGAAGGGTATTTTAGTTTCCTCGCCTCCTCTCTCTCCGTTTTGGTTTGAGAGAGAAAGAAAAGGGGAAAAATAATCTTGAAAGAGGAAGCATAACAGGAAGTTTCTAACACTGCTAGTCCTTCTGCCACTTAAAAACACAGCTGTTTCTGTCTTACTGCTCTGTATCTCCTGGAGGACAAGCATAAACCATCACAGACTGCGTCTTTACATTCAGGACTTGGAAATGCTAATTAGCAAAGAGATGAGAGAGAGAAAAAATCCTCAGTGCCTCCATGTGTTGTTTCCCCAAGTGTTGTTTCTTTTTTCTTTCTGGTAACTTAAATATCCCAAGAGAGCGTCAGCCGTGACATCTCCAGTGCCTGAAGGGTTAATATAGTCTTTGAGGAAGCTCAGAAGCAGCAGCTCTTCCTTCTCCCCTCCCCTCTGCCTTCTCTTGCTCAACTTGTTTCTGACTTCCTTTTATGACAGCAGACTGAGCAGCTGAACAGGATCGGTGCTTGGGGTTTATTTTATCTCTAACG